TTTGAAGTGGCACATCCCACGGAAATCAGTTGAATATCAGATGTTATTCTGTACAAAAATCTTGGAAATAAGGGACACTTTTAATTTAGCCAAAAACTCCGAAAATTTCGAAACGGGGACACATGGAACGGAAATTTCTTGGTAAAGTTTCCAAAAAATCCGAAATTGTTGAAATTCGCTGACGGCAAGCAACACAAAGCGCGCGAACTTGACATGATTACCCTTAGAAATCATGCACCGCTGTCATACATGACATGATTACCCGTGACCTTGAATGTCCTAAACATGATTATTGTATAATCTGCAGCTAGATGACGTCACAGGTGCTGATTTCGAAAATTCACTGTACGCTTTCGGCCAATCAGAAAAGAGAAAGTGAGTTCAATGTACAATAACATATAATATTGGTAAATACAATGGAATGAACTCATTCATTCATTCATTCTATTTATTTTCCTTTTTGCCTAATATAGTAATTATTTATAAATATTTCAATGTATGGCGAGGTGACCTCTAGAAACCACCAGGCTTTTAGGCTACTTACTATAGCTCCCAGAGTAGCTGCTTCTTTGCACTTGAGGTAAATGGTTGATTTAATTGCCGCAATGAGTTTATCTTTATACTGTAATGATCCACTGGAACGCACAACCTGAGGGAAACAAGTTAAAATAGATGAAATATATTGCCGCTGAGCTCAACAAGANGAGACTTTTCTCGTTTCTCGTGAGTGCAGTGTAAGTTCCAATGGTTTGCATTGTAGTGACGCACAAAGCGAGTGTTCGAATACTATGATGGAAGCGTTGGGTTTTACAAACTTGCGTTTTCCAATGGCATTGATCATGGAGGCAGATTTCCACATGGGGAATAAGACACGATCATTGCTTCATATTTACAGAGGCCAAAATTTTGTAATTGTAGACAGAGACTTGCTGAACATCAGAATTTTTGGTTGTTAGTACTACTGTTGTATTCTTTGCAACCACTAGGATCGATTATATGGGTCATTACATGAAGATTACATGAAGACTCGTCTCTGCGTTGGCATGGCAACCCGGTAAATAATGGCTACAACGGAAACCACGTGTGTTGAGAGCTAAGTGTTGAGAACGCAATAAAACACCATAATAATAACAACTAGTCAGAACCAATAGAGAGTTTTCACTCACGTGGCCAACAGTAATGCACATTTATTGGAATATAAATAGAAAGCGTTTACATAAGAAAAGAGTTCAACTCCCACAGGATTGGTTAGGTACATCAACATTGCCGCCATTTCCGCACGTAATGTTTCTTTTTTTACAGAGAAAAATAAATCATTACCAACAGATAATTCTGTTTGTCATGTCATCACAATCATTCTTTCTTGTTAAGAAAGTTTGATTAACAAACAGACTGTAACATGTGTATGTTTGGCTATCAAACATTTGCTCCTTGCCTGGGGTATTGTACAAACACTCAAAATGTCTGCGAAGAGCGAAAATATTAAGAAGGTACGTACGAACCTCCGATAAAATCTGGAGATTCCATAACAGCTGATCATCAACTTCCTCTTCTTCTGCAACCGCTTCCACTGAAAGAAAATATTGAACATATTAACAATATGCAACTTATGCTTCGATGATTTTACACTTAATTGGACATCGTTGTCCTCAAACTTGCCTACCACGAAACGATAATCGTGGTCATGTTATCGAACTCACGCACCGAGAACGTTCTCAAGTTTCAACTACAGTGAATAGTTTTAAGCACTTGCATATCCAGGTAGACTACGGTAACACAAACTAAAGGCCACAGTGACTTACAAGCTGCGATTTTTCTGCCCGAT